CCTGCCCCGAGCGTGACATTTGCCTGCGGTTGTGTCCCCGCCACAGGCGGCGCGCGTCCCTTTTGTGATCGACGGGTCATTCCCAGGGCGTGCTCGCAGGCGGCGCACCAGCGCCGGCTGGCGCGCTGGGGGCCGGCCGCCTCCCTCACGCCCTCCGGCGGCGGCGGCGGGCGGGGCTGGGCCGGCCGCAGCGGCCGGCCCTGCCCGCTCCCCACCTGGCAACCGGCCAGACGGTACGCTGCCGCACGTGTGCCGAATGGACGCGCCGTTGGCAAGGCGCTCCTCCTGCGCGCTGCATGTGTGTGCGTGTGTGGTGGGGGGCGTGGTCATGCGGCGAATGGGAAACATGTGAACGTCGGCGGCGAGCGTCTTACGTGGTTGGATGGGCTCCACCACCAAACCGAGCATAACTTTTGCTGTGGGAAATCACAGTTCTCGTTAAAAGCAGGCGCGTCAGATGGCGCTTGCGGCTTCACCTCCTGGGGCACTGCAAGTAAGGAGAACCTTTCCACCCAGGCCGCCGGACTGGCCGCCGAAGATCGAGCCTGACTGTCACCAAAGCGTTTCCTGTGTGGCACTCTGCCCAGCGCGCCACGCCGGCCCCCACCCTTCGCCCGGCGGCCCACGCGGCGGCGGCCGCGTGGGCCGTCCACCCCCACCCCCCCCCCCCCCCGGCCGCTGCGGGGCCGACCCTGACCGTGCTGGTCACCCGGCCGCGCCGCCAGCCGCTTGGGGATAATCCCCTACCCCGTTCATGGCTGCGGCGGCGCCGCGGCCCGCCGCCGTCGCTTCCGGGAGCACTGACCTCCGCAACAAGCGCCGGCGGCCGGAGGGGCGGCGGCCCGTCGTGGCCTGCCGGGAGCGGGTGCACCGAGGCTGCAAGGAGGCGTTTCTGGCGGCGATGTCGCAGTGCCTGCTCGCAGCGAGGTCGTGCTTGCCCGTTCTCCACGGCGGCGCCGGAGTTAGCGGAGGCGCGCGTGCAGACTTTACGTCGTTGAGGGATGCACCGCGGCGGAGCGACGAGCGCGTTCTCCTCCCGGTGTTGCGCGTTGTCCGTTCCCGGAGGAGGCAGCGGGCGTGAACTGAGCCGAGGCATCACGCGCCTTCGAGCTGCATCTGTGCTGCTCGGGCGGGATTCGGCCCGCGGCCTCTGTTGCGTTCGGCCAGCTAAAAAGCGCCGTCACCTTGACTGCTGATGATTCGGAATGGCTGTACGGGCTCCAGCCCTGACCCGCACCGTGCTGTTCGCCGGTGACGGCGCGCGCCGGCCGGGCTCGCCTTGAACCGCGCGCGCCCGCCGCCGACCGCCGGCGGCGCCGGCCGCTCGGCTGGCGGCTCGGCTGCGTGCCGGCCGGCCTGGCGCCGAATCCTGCGCAGACGCGTCCCCGGCTCTGGCTTTGGCTTGATTCACTGCAAACGGAGCGCGGCGTTGGCTCTGTTGTTTTTTTTTTTAGTGTCCGGCGTCTGCGCTGGTTGTGAGGAAAAGGGTGCTGTTCGTAATGGTATGGCTCGTTAGCCAGGGTCAATGACTATCAACGATTGGCACGCCGGCTTCAGCCCGTCGGTGACGTGCAACGCGGCGAATGAGGCCAGGAAACGAATGCTATTTATGCAACGTAAAGCGCAGTGAAAGAAGGCGTCATTTTCGCAAGCTGCTCGAGATCCGACAGTAATTTACTTTTTCAGCTTTTGGTACCGTGTATGTAGTCATCTTAGTGGCTTTTTGGTGACTCGGCCTGCATTTCGAGGTGGGGGCAGGACAAACATGGCAGGGGAAGATGACGACCCCTCGGAAGAGGTACAAAGCTCGGCCCATGGGTGACACTTCGGCAGGAGTGATAAAGCATAGCTATGCCTGCCAGCACTGACCAGGGGCCGTGTGGTAATTCGTACGCTGCAATTCTCAGCAGGCAGCTACCGCTACTAGCAACGTTTTCAGGTGTAACCCTGTCCATGCAGCTGAATGAATGGCATATTGTCTAATGGTGCAAGAAGTCTTGACGCGCTCCAATCTAGAAGAAAATTGTGTACATATGTATAGTGCTGTCTGCTGTCTCAAAGCTACTTTTAAGGGAGTGATCCACATTTATATCGATTTTTGAACTGAAATAGCCATCTCGAAGACCTTTCCGTGCTGTTCACAATCCTGCTCTTCCTGAGACCGAAGCCCCTCTAGTTTCTGAGCTATACGCCCGCGAACATGGGGAAAGGTTTGGCGGAGGGAGCACTGCGGCTTAAAATCACCTCGTCATTTGTGACGTCATAACGTCATTAAAATCCTGCTATTCGACAAGTCATGCGGTGATGAAGGCCATTAACAAGATGTTGTCGAGTCGTTCATATACGGCGTTCGTGAGCGCGATTACCAGATGTACCGACCGTCAACTGGCCCTCAATCAATGTTGTGCAAGGTACGGCTGACGTCACCAAACCATTCCGCGATAAGAACCATATTACCTCAAAGAGAATTGTGCTGTCTAGAACAGTCTTGTCCACTTAAAAAGTACACCAATAGTTATAAGTGAGCTTGTTTCATCATATCTGATGTTTGTTTCAATATCTTCAGCTGTGAAACATTCCCTTTAACGTGCAATCACCGTCTGAAGTTGCGAGCTAACAGCCGGCTGAAGCTCTCCCCGGCTGTCGCAGGTAGCCAGACCGTGTGACGCGAGCGTCACAAGCCGTGGCCGGGTCACGTGACCCGCACTCTCGGTTGTCTGGCCTCGCTTGCGCCAGCTGTCTCTTCCTGGCACGAGCACGTGCTCCACGTGTGTATCACGAGCGCCGAGCGGGTCGCGCCGTCCCTGCGGCCCACCCCAGCCGGTGGGGCCTCTGCGACCTTGTTGCTGGCGCCGACCTGACCTCGTCGAGGACCGCAACCTCGCGGCAGGGCAGCTGAGAGCAGCCCCGTTGGATTGCTCCTCTGCCTGGGCCGATGGCCACCCCACCAACGGCCACCCCACCCGATGATGGGGTGGCCGTTCCACCAGTCGCGCGTGCGATGATGTGCTTTGCCAATGCACACCACGGAGGCCATGTGACCAGTTGTCATTCGGTGATGTGTATCATGATCAAAGGGCAGCGGCAATCTGTGACAGCATTGGGTAGATGTGCATGCGTATTTGCAATGCCTGGCTTCTTATAGGTTCCAGAACAACTTCCCAAATGGCGTTTGACCGATCCTTTCTTAACTGACCACTGGCCCATTGGCGTTCAACCAGAGAAGACTTCGGCCAATTGGCATTAGATAAATATGGATTGTGACTCCCTTTATTATGACAACATTATGACAACATTTCGTCACTTTGGTACGCCGGCAAAAAGAAATGTCGGCAAATTACCGTTCGACTTAAAGCATTTCGTCTTATTAACACGGCGACAAAAGTCCACGTCGACAAAAAAATATTCGGTTAATTACATTCGGTAAAAACGCCATTCAGACAAATACATTTCGGTTGTTTGTTTGAATACCAATTTGAAATGGATCTGCTCTAGGTGTTTTTATCCTGGAGTACGCTGCCTTTAACAACGTATTTAGTGTGACTCGAATCATTTTCACGGCAGCACTTCATTTTTCAGCAGCAGCATTTCAGGAATAGGCAACAGCTCCGTTCATTCGTGCAAAGTCTGAATTGATATCCAGTTAATGCAATATTCAGGCTGCTGTTACTAAGGCGTGACTTCGTTTTAGTACATTCCGTTATATTTTGAATTACAGCTAGATTACGTTTGATTCTCACGATGTGCAAATATTGTAACGTTCGTGTAATCATCTCGGAGGCATCATCAGCTGACGCAAGCGACACAAACCGAATGGAGAGTAGTTGGTAAATGTATGTCTCTTCAGACCACCTTTCAAAAACTCCAACCAAGAGGACACTGTAATATAGTCGTGTTATATGGCTTGTTATATTCGATATATTTGATAACATTCTATGTCATTTGCGTTATGTTCAATGGCACATTGCTAGTGTTATATTGTGCTGTCAATAATTGTTTCCCGAGCAGTGGCTGCTCAAAGGCCCTCCGCTGTGCTCCGGACACATGGACTGTGGCATCGATCTTGTCCACCTCTGGACCGTAACCAAGCTCCTCAGCTCGATCTAAGCTCCCCTGAGTCTCCCGGGGCTCCCTGAAACTTTCGAGCCTTCTCAGTGCACCGGCCGCTGAAGCATCTCGCAACTCTTGGCCTCTAGGTCCCAAGGGCTACGATACATCCGGAGGGGGAGGGGTTGGATCCTATGTGCGCTGGACGCTGAAGCGTCTCACAGCCCTTGGCGTCTGGGTACCAAGGGCTACGAGACATCCGGAGGAGGGGGGAGAGGTTGGATCCTGTGTGTGCCGGACGCTGAAGCGTCTCGCAGCCCTTGGCGTATGGGTACCAAGGGCTACGAGACATCCGGAAGGAAAAAGAGGGGGGGGGGGGGGGGTGGATCATTTGGGGAATCTTGAATGTCATGGGGTCTGCAAGCTGTCCTGACGTCCCACACCGTTTTTTGCCTATCTACTCTCATACCTTTTGACTACCTCAGGCTCATGGCCGCCCTGGGTTTGGTAACACGTTTGTAAATACCGGAATGCAACTTTGGGTTTTAATAGCTCGTCCAAAGGTCGATATGGCTGAGCAATAAAGGCTTTAAGTTGGTATGCTCACTGTCACGCTTGCCATGCCACATTATCTACCCATCAATACTCTCACTGCTTGCCATGCCACGTTACCCATCAATGCTCTCACTGCCACGCTTGCCATGCCACATCGACTACCCATCAATACTCTCACTGCTGGCGTATGATCTTGGTTCTCCTCTGCTGATGACTATCATTTGGATGCGTGCGATGTGAATGACTCATGGAAGCTGAAGCAAATTTTATAAGGCTGGTCCAAACGTTACTGGGAGTTTCCTCCACAGTCCAATATTGTCAAAAAGTATTCAACTGCAAGACTGTGTTGTCATATGCTTGGTTCTTGCCTGAAATGTATGTCCGCTCTTTCGTTTCAGACGTGCTGACCTTTTTACCAAGATCTTTAAACCACTCTTCGAACGATCTTCTGAAGCCAGTGAACGGCAATCACGATCAAGAGGTTAGTCCCCAAGGGAGACCCTGTTTTGTTTTTCGGAGTCGTGAATGCCGCCATTAAATGGAGTTAGCGGACAATTGCAGGGCAGCGTGTTGTACGCCACCTGCCAGATTGGCTGCCAGACTTAAGCTGGTCGTTTTATTAAGCTGATTGACATCACCCCAAACTCACACACTCGCGTGCGGACCTCAAGCATGCGTGTGCAGTGCACACCAACACCACGCTCGGTCGATGGCGTTTGCCGATCGATTGTGGTCTGGAATGAGGTTTGGTACTTCGATGTATACCCGACTAAAATCTTCCTGAACTTCTTCGAACTGACTTTACACAAAAATGCGAACGCACTCTAGTACTGTTAAAACGGACAGTTGCTGGACATCAGAGCAATACAGTGGGTGCCTTCAGTGATGTCCCAGATGCGGATGAACATCCTTTGGACTGGGGCCGACAACCGAACCTCAGGGCAGGATAATGAGTCCGAGGGTGCTTACGGGACCGGTGACTCACGCAGGACTGGCAGCGAGCCATGCCAAATTGTCAAGTTTGAAACTCGCGCGATTTCGTCTTTCACGCACCGCAAGGGCGAAAGGCGATGACGCAATATCAGCATAGGCAAGGGCGATCGCGCCGCTTTCATCTCACATGCTCGTGAGACAGCGATTGGCGATTTGTGACCCTCCGTTTGATGCTAGTAAACTTTGTGTGCGGGTTTTCCTTCTGAAATGGAATGTAGTCTGATGCATTTATGTCGGCTGCAAGTAGGTCAGAGCATTATGAGAACTACGTCATTGCCTATGAGATCTACTATCTTGATAATTATTATCATCGGAACGTGGGCAACTTTGAATACTTGTCGAAGACATTGGACACTTATTCATGGTTATTGCCCATACTTCTATACAAAGTACTTGGCTTCACCCACCAGTTTAAGAGCCACTTTCGTATTATACGTGCCCAACGGCCTAATGTCAGAACGATAGCAGCATGTCGTGATACATACGGAACTCATATTTTTACACGTGGGAAGCGATAAAGAGCTGTGTGTGCTGGTGTATTAGAGATGACAGCACTCTGCCATCTGTTCTGTTGAAAATACACGATGGTAACACCGCGCATTTCGGAGCCTTACTTCGTGCGGATGAAGCCATTTGCAGGAAGATGCTAATAGTATTGTACCAGTTTGATCTATCTCTTTTCGGAAATTGTTATTCCGGGGGAACATCTTACAATTCATTGAAGAAAGATACAGGAAGTTAACGGATAAAGAAGGAATTCAAATGAATTTGGCAAAGACTTGAACACATCAGGACACTTTCAGTCAAAATATGAACTCATGCCGACAGTAAGAACACCAGTTTGGAGGTCATATCAGTGTGTGATCTTGAAACCGTTGAACCTAGATGCATTCATGCACGATACACGTCTTTTTACGTTAAACTTGGCTGCATGTTTCTGCGGTGATTATTTTGTTTCAATCTAAACTATTTAGATTTAATCTGTTGCTATCAAAGGACAATAACCCGGCAATGTGATTACGTGCATACACTTGTAGTATGAGCTTACGCACCAACGTGAACAGAGGTGACAGGTGGCCATGTCAGTATGGCGTTTCTGTGGCTGTGATCAACCATATCGAGGCTGGACATTTTCATGGTTTGCATTAGCAGCCATCGAAAGCACACCATAATTGTCCCACCGCTACATGCAAGCTCTCCCTGGCGGTGAGGATGGACATAACCGCGCGCACCGGCCACTGATACTGCCCAGATCTGCTAACGTCACCAGGGGCGTGGTGGCAACCAAAGCGTTGTCATCCGGTTGTCATGGCGACTGATATCGAGCAAGTGAACATAACCATCTCGCTATCCCGTCAGTTTGCAAGGAGGCGGTCACCTTCGCGCTGTAAAGGCAGCCGTCCGCCGACCGGTCGACCTTTGTGAGTGACTTCAGTACAGGCCGATAGTTGAGTACTATGTGACACATGGTGTATTCAAATGGACTTTTAAGTACCCTGTCAAGCGCCGGTACGTCAGAGCAAATGATTTCACCGGGGCGTGAAGTCAGTGAACTTCCGCGACAGCCGTGTGAGCCGTGTGGAGCGGGCTTACCGTAAAGACCAGGAGCGCGCGGTGCCGAACTTGCCGTTCCGATCGCCAGTGAGTTGATAACAAGCCGAGCACAGAACCCGCGCCGACTACCTGACGCAGAGCATCTCAGCCTCAAAACGGAGCAGACACAGCGACTCAGACGTCTCGGCGTGTGACCCAGCGTCGGCGAGAATGAGACGGCTCACCAGTGTCAGCGCGCCAGGCCGGACCCTGCTCGGCGGCCATACCTCCTGCTGCGGCGGTCGTGAGAGAACGGGTCTGGAGCCTTGATGACCTGGCCTGACCGCCCGCTGACTGGGCTTGACTGTCCTGACTGCCCCTGCCCCCGGGTCTGACCCCTGACCGAGCCTGACCGCAAGGACCCGACCCAGCGAGTCCGAGGCGCGTATCAGACGGACGCACCAGCCGCAGATGGGGTGTGCGCCGAGTCAAGTCGGCTCGCAGCAGGTGACGGGCGAAGCGCTCATCTGCTTCGTCAATAGGACGCCGCGCGAGGCCGAGAGCGTGCAGAAGAATGAGGTGAAGCTGCTGTTCCTCGGCAGCGCCGGCACTGGCAAGAGCACGCTAATGAAGCAGATTCGCATCATCCACGGCAGCGCCTACGAGGAGAAGGAGCGCCTGCTGAGCCGACAGACCATCCACAACAACACCATCGACGGCATGGCCGGCCTCATCCAGGGCTTGTGGAAGCTGGGCATCGAGCTGGGCGACCCCGGCTTGGAGGACGACATCAACGCCTTCATGTCAATGACGCCGCCGGAAGTGTCGCTGAATCCGGCGCTGGGCAAGTTGGCGCAGAAGATCTGGCAGGATGCGGGCGTGCAGGAGGCGTACCGGCGGTGCCACGAGTTCCAGCTGAGCGACGCGGCTGTCTACTTCCTGCGACACCTGCCACGCCTCTCAAGCCACGGCTACGTGCCTTCCGAGCAGGACATCCTGCACTGTCGGGCGCAGACGCTCAGCATCATCGACCAGTCGGTGCTGATCCGCGGTGTCTCCTTCCGCCTGATCGACGTTGGCGGGCAGAGGTCGGAACGCCGTAAGTGGATCCACTGCTTCCAGGACGTGACGGCCGTGCTCTTCTGCGTCGCGCTGTCGTCGTACGACATGTTCGACGCGGAGAAGAATGACCTCAACCAGATGACCGAGTCGCTCAACATCTTTGACGCGCTGTGGAATAGCCACTGGCTCGCTAACAGCACCTTCTTCGTCATCCTCAACAAGAGTGACGTGTTCAGGGAGAAGCTGCGTGTCAGCAAGATGGTCGACTTCTTCCCGGCGTACAAGGGCGATAACGACTACGATTCGGCGTCGGTTTTCGTGCAGAAGATGTTTCTGGACGTGGCCGTGAGGACCGACAAGAATATTCACGTGTTCTTTACGTGCGCAACCAATACGGAAAACATTCAACTCGTGTTCCATGTTGTGGCGGAGATGATTCTTCAGGAAAATATGAAAAATGCCGGTCTGTTCTAGCTGTGCACTAGATTGTAGCAATCTGATTCGATGCGATAGCTTTCAGCTTTCAGGATGCTTGGATGCAGGTGAACATGCATGGAAAAGCTTTCAAGATGCGTAGTCATGAGCAGAGGGCAGCCTTTGTGAATGGCCGTATACTTTTAAGGAATGGTGCGTAATTTTTCAAGGAGGGAAGAGGATACAGCTGAACAATGTTTTTCAAGAACGAAATGGGTCGTGCCAGCACTCCCCTCCAGAGTAATTCACACGATTTAAAGTTGTTTTTTTTCCTGAACTTATATGAGAAGTCAAAGTACACATTGGTATGCACATTGCAAGTTGTCTGAATTGTTATTTTCATATCCATAAATTTTATACGTTAATAACAGTATTGGCAAGCGTTAAGTGCTTTAACCCGTCATGACACCAGAACGAAATACAGTTTACAACATATTGTTGTGCTAAACGAAGTTAACTTGCTTACTTGCTGCGTAAGTGGTAAAAGCAACCGAGTCTTATTGTTGATGTGACCTATGTTGCACGTACTAACCACCTGTCCACGACATTCTGAAAATAAAGCCTTTTTGAAACTTCAAGTTTGCGACGGAAAGGGTAAACAGCTATGAAGACAAACACGCCCATGCGAAGAAAAGCCATGTTAGATGTGAACTTTGCGAGGTGAAGCTGTCTTAGTGACGCTGACATGCGGAGACAAAGAAGCGCCATCTGAACCGAAGAAGATACCCTGAAATAAAGGCATCATTTTGATGCGATGGTTAGCAGTTTGGTGTACCTTTTTGCTCTGATAATTTAAGCGACTGCTGTTTTAAGGAAACACCGCCAAGTGGCAATACTTATTCCGGTTATGAACCCGAAACTGTTCTCGTATGTGTATCGATGCAACGTTCATGCTCAACGAGCGCTGATCGTAACGTGACGATGGTTACGAGGAATGGCTAGCCATAAGACTGAGGACATGGTCGTCATTGAATTCTGTAGATGTTTCGGAGCACTCATTGTTCACGATATACGAAGATGCTTGCAGGGCGGCTAGGTCATGCACATGGAGGGAGACTGTGTACGCTAGGTTAATGGCATCAAATCAAATACATTGGAAACACAGTCATGCTACGTGTCGTTTTGGTCGGTGATGGCCTGTTCTGGCCCTCTTCAATTAATTCCGAGCTTTTTCACCTGTTCATTTAACCGTTGCTGGTAATTATCTGCCAATTAAATGGCATTGTACACTGTCAGAGCCTGAAGACAAAAACCGGCAGTTAATTGAGAAGGCTTCTGTGGGAACCCAATCATACGAGACTACCTGATGGGAGACGTGGATATCTGATACACAGAGGGTATATCTTGATGACTTGGATGATGATCGTCCCGCCTATCGATGTGAGAGTGCAGGCTCTGCATAAACTGGCAGCGTACGCAGCAGGACGCTGTTCTCAGAATCGCGGTATCGCGAAGGTACGCAGCCGTGTGTGACCCTCGCCAGGGAGCTCTGCCGAGTCGGCCTCCGCACCGGAGCCGTCTCCTCTCCTCCAGCTCGTCGCCGGCGTCCCACGCGCGTGCTGTCGCGTGCCCTCCCCGTCGGCGGGCCGGGTGCCGTGCGGTCTGGTCTGGTCGGCCGGCGCGCAGCCGTCCCGGCCGCTCAGTATGGATCCCGAGACGGCCGGCGGCCCACGCGGAAGTCCGAGTACGACACCTGGCGGCGGCGGCGAGCGGCACGACACCTGGCGGCGGCGGCCGCGGCCCGCGGACGGCGCGACACGTGCCGAGCGCCGGCGCGCCACACACGTGTGCGCTATATTTCAGAGGTGTATGCGCCACGCGTCAGGTAAATCGTGGGAGTGGGACGGGTTTCGCTCCACAGGGGCTCACCTATAGCCTACTCCACAGCTTGTCAATATAACCTCGCCCTGCTTCATTGATGCGGTCGGGGATGCAGACCGGTTGTACAGACCGGGCATGGGCATCTTAGTAGGCTGTTTACAGGCCTTTAGTTCTATGCCTGAGTCCCTGTATGCGCTGCTCGCACATGCGGCAGGCGTACAGCTTTGCCAAAATGCTGACATGCTCGGTATTAGTCATGAAGACAGCATATTTGTGTTGCTCGCGTAGTGTAGATTTTGTCCCATTTGCAGATTTAAAGGAAGAAATAAATCCGCAGCTGGCCGTTGCTACCTCCTTGCCAGCGAAGTGAATCCCTGTATCCCATGGGACCTTTCATGACAGGAACGGCCTCGAAAAATGTCAGAATATACATGACGTCCGTTCTGCTGGGGTATGTAATGTGCCTCTTTTCATGATATTCGCGTTTGGGGTAATCCTATGGGAAACCTCTGGATTCAACGTGCTCAGCTTTGCTCTTGAAAAATGCAGCAATTCCGCTGACTTCATCGACGGTTCTTTAATACATAACGATGCCCCTTGTCCTGGTAACACTATTTTAAAGAGAACCCGGTGATTGCAAGCGCATTAAAAGAGTTGAATTGAGTTGATACTTTCTGCTAACTCATAACGGAGTCAGGGGCAGCTTGAAATGTTGGAACACCTAGCAAGACATACCGACTACAGCACGGGGCAGCATGATCAAGCATCAGTGCTGTAAAATGCAGAAACTACGAAACGAAAAAGCCATCGGAGACAACACAAAAAGGCAGGCCGCCTACATCGGCGAACAAACAGTAGATAACGAACAAGTCTTGAGCAACGCTCCTTAGCCGTCCGGTAGTTTTCTGACTGTGTGCCTTTCCCTACCTTGTTTTGGGCGGGTTGCCCATTGTGCACGCCGCGGCGTTGCTTTGCAGACGATTGCGGCTGGTCTGGTTAGGAATGGCAATATCGTTTTTCCACGATGAATTTTGCATGGCTTTTCTCCAAGTGTTCCGCTTATCGCCACATTGACTTACTTGATGTGATTGCACGTTTCTCACCATAGCCCGTCCTGCCACATATCTACAAGTTACCACATTTGCCACCGCTCGCTGTCTTTGTTCAAAGAAAAGGACATTCGACGTCAAAGCACGCTCGCGATCAGAGTTATTAACAGTCAACAGCACAAACTTCTCCAAGCAAACAAACAAGCAGCCACGAGAGACGGAGGGGTCTCGCCGCAGCTGTTGCCGGGGCGAAACATCATGTCTGTGACGCTCATGGAGGGAACGCGCTGCACAGCGCTGTGCGTCCTCGCACGCGTGACTCGTGATGAAGCGCCTGGCCAGAGGGTTAGCGTCACACCAAGCGCCTGGCCAGAGGGTCAGCGTCACACCAAGCGCCGCCAGAGGGTCAGCGTCACACCAAGCGCCTGGCCAGAGGGTCAGCGTCACACCAAGCGCCTGGCCAGAGGGTCAGCGTCACACCAAGCGCCTGGCCAGAGGGTCAGCGTCACACCAAGCGCCTGGCCAGAGGGTCAGCGTCACACCAAGCGCCGGCCAGAGGGTCAGCGTCACACCAAGCCCTGGCCAGAGGGTCAGCGTCACACCAAGCGCCTGGCCAGAGGGTCAGCGTCACACCAAGCGCCTGGCCAGAGGGTCAGCGTCACACCAAGCGCCTGGCCAGAGGGTCAGCGTCACACCAAGCGCCTGGCCAGAGGGTCAGCGTCACACCAAGCGCCGGCCAGAGGGTCAGCGTCACACCAAGCGCCGGCCTGTCCTCTTGCCTCGTCGTTACCGAACCCAGGTCAGCTCTGCTCGCTGGTCCAGTGTAGAGTTCCACCCTGAATCTGTGCCGTGCCAGCGCCAATGGCTGCGGAGATTGGTTTAGCGAACGGATGGCCACATGGGGAAAAACAGCCGGAGGGCTGGGGAGCCCTTTGTGTCTTCCTTAGTGAGAACAGGTCTCTCTAATTGTAATTGACGGTCTAAGCATCTAAGTGAGGGAGATGATGATATACTGCGTCCCCAATAGTTAGTCACGACATTCTGCTCAACAGTTGACGCTTTGGGATGAAAAAAGTACGCAGAATTTTCAGGCGCGCATTTGGCCCCCTTCTTTAAATAACCCTTGACCAGACCCACTTTTAAAGACGGAACGTTCCACAAGTGCTTGTACGGAACTCATTTTTAAAGAAAATTTTGCCAAGCCTTGCCATGTAAGGTATTGCCCAACTTTTGTTCAAGTGTCAACGTCCCCTCGTTGACAATGATCTTCTGCACTTCCGTACAGATGCACTGTCTGGTTGTCATGTGGCGACAACACCACAGGACATCCAGACAGGTGTAAGACGATACGGTCCAACTTATTATCCAATAAGACGCATTCCACCACACAGGAACCATCGCGTTGGAAAGCTGAGCTGTGTGTATTCCCACATGGTCTTGTTGGCTGATAGATATTGCGTTCAATAGCGACGTCTTGCAAGCGATTTAGAGACCCCGAACGTGATCCGAAGGCGGTCAGTCATTGGCAGCCGCAGCTTTAAAGTAAGTCAGAACAGTCATTAGTTGGTGACTTATTGCCTGGATACACAATGCCTTGGTAATATTTATCAATGACCGTAAGTGTTATGATGTTCTCAGAGTCGCTAAATGGCTCTTAGGCAACTATCAATTCGTTTTCATGGGCAGCTGATCAAAACAAGATTTCTTGACCCACTTGGTTTCGTGACTTAAAGGGAATGTTTCGCATTTGAAGATATTGAAGCAAGCATTAGGTGCGATGAAACAAGCTCACTTATAACTATTGGAACGCTTTTCAAGCGGAAAAGACTGCTCTAGACAGCACAATACTCTGTTGAGTAAATATTCTCCTCAACGCGTCATAGTTTGATGACGTCATCAGCATAACCTTTTTAGGACGTCGCGCTTAACACGGCGTAACCTGAAGAAAGGAAGGGTTTTGCTCAGCGTAGCCAAAGTATAGCCAGCAGGGGGAGCGGTTAAATATGGTGAAACTGTGTAACGCAATGTATGGGCTGTCCCAACGCGTTACGTCCCACACAGCCGCTCATTTCCAGAAAGATATAACGGAACAAATATAATTGTATGCCATTAGAATGGACAATGGCAAACTGCTATCAAATTTGCAATGTGCGGTTATGTGGTTTTCCAAATTTCCTCACTTGATGCTGACCTAGGGACTCGAACCAGTTACAGCGGCTACAGAACACACAAGTCCACGTTTCACACAGCTGTGACACTCATGTTCGTAGGGCAAGGAGGTGCATAGCTTCAAATTACCAAATTTTGGCGCAAAGGATAAGTGCCTGCGCGGCAACATGGGCACTCACTGAAATTTCCAGTGACTGCGCAGCACAATGTTATCAGAGCTTTTCATGTAACACAGAGTTCCGGTGATGCGTAGGCTTTTGCAAAGATTAAAAGGACATAGCTATGTAGATGGAGTTATGCAGATGAAAAGACAGTTGGGTATGGTTAAAGCTGGCTCGTACAGGGCTCGGTTGCCGGCCATCGCAGTCGCCCACTGCCATCTCCAAGGTGGTTCAAAATGCCCAGGAATGTGTGTAGTACGCATATGGCATACTTTGCGCAAAGTCCATTCGAATTTTATGAACACAGTCCATAGAATAATCATTTGTTGTATTTTGCGTGCGCTGGGAAACATCAATGCTCGTTTTCTTTTCAAATCAAAAACGATCTTACAGGTAATCCAGATCATCTCCTCAACACATTCAATATATTGGGCTTAAGTTGGATCAACGGGGCCAACACAAGCGGCTTAAAGTCGCAAAAACATAAAACAAAAAGCAAAAAAATCCTTTTCCGTCGATGAGTGAGCTCAGATTTCGGATTTAATCCGAGTAGCCCAGATAATCGGGACCCATGCAAGTGATATCTATGTCAATCGTTTTTTTGGGAGGAGAAAACTATGATGCCGTGAAAGGTAATTATCTTGCGGAACCAAACATAGGTGTAAGATAACTGCGCTGGAGCATACGTAAACTTCAGACAGACTTCAAGTCCCACAGACTGATAGCTGTGTCTGCTATCGATTTCTGAAATGCGGTCGTTCGTAGCACTATCCATCCTTGTATGTTTTACGTCGTTATCAGCACGGTCCGAGCTACAATTTATGCCACACAGTTAATTTCGAAATCAAATACAAATGGCGACAGGATGCAGGCAGACAGCGTTTTAAGTCGTTGCCGCACGGAAGTGAAAAGTGTGCCTGTGTCTGATAGTCTGCAATAGCTTGGATCTTACAGGTACTTATCTAAAAAATAAATAAGATTCTGGTAATTCTTGACCTATTTCGGATGGCGAGTGATATCATGAGTCACGTGACCGACCTCATTCAGTGGCGTCCAGCTCACTGGTGTTATCTGTCAGGTCTCCTATCAGTTCCAAGACATGTCCCAATGTCTAATATGATTATGCTAAATACCGCTTTACAGAATGATTTCAGGACAAAGAAAAGCCCTGTAACGAACATAACGACCATAACATGGCTTAGCATATAACGAACAGAACGAACATACCACGAACACCTGTGATTTTGGACTTCACTCTTATGTTTACACCAAACATCTGCTGAAAATTCAGGTATAAGCCATTCGTTATTGTCGATAACCCGATCATCAAGACGCATGAGACAGTTTGACATAAACATTCGTGTGTCTCTGGCAATCAAGGCTTGCGTGAATTTGGCACGAGAGATACTGAAGAATCATCTTCTGCTTATTTTAATGCAGTGTACCCTGAGTCACATTATATTTACAACAAAAAATTCTGCTGTACTTTAAAAATATTTTCTTGACCTTTCATCCAGTTCTGTACAACTACCTCTGACCTCTGGCGGGACCGTGGGACCGTGAGGGGTGAGACCCTTAACCGGAGGGCTCGGTGGGCCACCTCCACCCCCTGGCGTGGCCGCTGGGCCGTGAGGGTTGCGACCCCTGGCCGGCAGGTGCTGTAGCCACCTCTACCCCCTGGCGTGGCCTCTGGGCCGTGAGAGATGAGACCACCGGCCAGCAGCCGATTTGGCCACCTCCACCCTCTGGCGGGGCCGCTGGGCCGTGAGAGATGCGACCCCTGGCCGGTAGCCGATGTGGCCACCTCTACCCTCTGGCGGGGCCTCTGGGCCGTGAGGGGTGCGACCACCGGCCAGCAGATGCTGTGGCCACCTCTACCCTCTGCCAGCGACGCTTGGCCGTAAGGGGTGCGACCCCCGGCCAGCGGTGACTGTGGCCACCTCTACCCTCTGGCGCGGCCGCTGAGCCGTGAGGGGCGCGACCCCCGGCCAGCAGGTGCTGTGGCCACCTCTACCCTCTGGTGGGGCCGCTTGGCCGTAAGGGGTGCGACCCCTGGCCAGCAACCACCTCTGCCCGTCGTCGGCGGCCGGTGCCGGCCTTGCTGCCAGCGACGCCTGGCTCGTGCAAGGTCAGCCGAGCCGGCCGTGTGAAAGTCAGTCAGTGCGGCGCGCGGCGCAGACGGGGACGGGTGTGCCGACCAGCCTCCGACGACCGGCCGGACCGACCTGACCTGACCTGACCCGAGCCGATTTCTTTTGGAGCCTGAGTGTACTGCACAACGAGGACTGGCCGGCGCTTGGCTGAGTGGACTGTGTGGGTCTGGACGACCACTGGAGAATTGTCGGTGGTTCAGGCAGCTTACACTGTAATATCACCAGCGATTTACCAAGTAAGTACCACCAGCGGTGTGCGAAGTGATCATTATTTACGTTTCGATTTATGTTGCACGCGCGTTTCTGTGCTCACTTCCGAGTTGGTGGCGGGCATTTTTGCACATATATCTTGACAGAAAACCTCCGTTTTATTTCGCCTGTGCCAGGAGGGGGGGGGGGGGACATTTTCAGTCAGCTCATTTTCTGCGTAATGTGCAAGGCCCGAGTGGCTACGATGGTTGCGTGTTTTTGTTCACCTTGCCGGGCGCCAAACTGTGTCAAGGTCACCGCCCGGTCCAGTTCTGCTGAGCCCGGCTCGCCCGAACGCTGCCTGGCGCCGATACCCCCCCCCCCCCCCCCCGTCCCGCCTCTCTGGGAGGCAGGCCGCTGGCAGTCGACGTGGCTGGAGCAGCCAGCCGACCGGTGGTACGCAGCGTCCATGGCATTCGAGCCGGCCGTCTCGGCTCAAGGCCCAGCACCCGCCGCCCTTGATTGGCTCGGCGCGCCGTGGCAGTGGCCGGCCCTGCTCAGATCGGGTCAGCGACGCAGCTTTTGCTGCCGCTCCCTCTCGATACTGCTGACCGCCGGACACCCTTCTGAGGGACTGCGCCCGCGTCGGCGCTGGGTGGCGTCGCCGACGCTTCGGCGTCCGTGTTCCGCCGGGAGGTCGGCCAAATGGGACGCGTTCGGCGGCGCGGCCGGCAGCGCCACGCACGCCGCGCGACCCTGGCCGCTGGCCTTGGACGGCTGTGCTCGTTCCCGCTGTGTATTCACGCTTTGTACGAGGATCTGGGCACTGCTGCAAGAGCTGAAAATGTAAAGGGCTTATAAATTTTTTGATCGTATAGGTTGTACACATTACAGTTTATTTTGCAAGGCTCGGCGTGGGGGCGAAGATTTATGCCAGATTTCAGCGCTTTGGAGCTCGGACTACAGTTAAGATAGTCCAGACCACTCCACGCGAACGGTCTGCATGCCGTTTCGCCCATTAGAAGTACTTTTCATGTGGGCAATTCGCGGCCAAAACGTTACCGTTTTTGGTCTGTGCTGTCGCACTTCATGTGATGCCTCAGACTGCGGGGATGTTCGCCGCGCCCATCGGGAACGACTGGCATGAAACCGCACGGAGCACCGCAGGGGCGTTGGCTGTGGGGCTCATAGAGTATGCTTCCTCCCTTCTCCAGGCCAGTGGTGGACCCCGGTTTTAAGCAACGATTTCAGCTGTTCGGTCGCTCAGGTCGCCACCAGTCAGTCTGTCCCCCCTGCCCCCCCCCCCTCCGATCCCTGCCGAGAACCAGCGGCGTCCTCCCGGTCCATCAAATGGGCCCCTCGGACGTAGAATGCTGGCGACGCTTCTGGAACGCGTCCGATAGTGTACGACACCGGAGGCAGCGACCTTGGCCTTGGGACGGCCTGCAGAGAATCCGCAGGTGGTGGTGCGGGGCCGAGGACCGCCGCTATACATGGCCTCGACCGTGCGTACAAGACACCCTCTCCCGACGTGTTACTGACGTGGAGTGTTGCAGGGGCGCCGCCAGTGGGGAGGGGGAGGGGGTGTGGTACGTATTCACGCCCCAGCCGTCAGACCCGGATTTTTCCCGTTTTTCGCTATAGGTGGCTCCCGAAAGAAAGCAAGAAATTGGCATGGTACGTGCTCACTGTGCTTCCCCCCCCCCCCCCCCGATCAGAAACTCGTGGCCTCGCCTCTGCACCGGTCGTCCGTTGATTGGTCGCTTTTTTGAAAGTCTTTGTTGACAGATGTTAGCATTAGTACGTCAAGCTAGACACAATAGCCTGATCCGAATGCTGCCGTATTGTTGCCGGGCCGTGGACGGACCGGCTGTGGAACGTCTCCGAGTTTGCGGACATGATAAGACCACCATGCCCTTCATCGTGACAATATTTGCATTGAATTCGGCAAATCCAGATATTGTCCTGCACCGAGATGTCGGTGCACCCACGGATTAGGCCCAGCCCTAGTCGAATCGCCGCGCCAGCCGTCACGTGTTTCTCCTGCCGGCACGAACGCTCCAAGAAGGCAGCACGGTAACGGCCATGGTAGCGATGAAGGTGGCCGCGGTGCCAGCGTGAGCGAGCGCAGGGACAGCGGCAGCAGCGGCAGCAGCGGCCGCGCTGACAGCGGCTCGTGAGGCTGCGGAAGCCGCTGTGACGGTGGCTTAACTGCAGCAGCAGCGCCAGCAGTGGCTCCAGCCGCAGCCGCAATCGTTGGGCCCGCGTTTGTACGTGTACAAAAGAGAGGCTGTTCCACGTCTTCGTTTAACGGACGACCAGTTGCATCATGTTGGTCCGAGTTAGCGCGGAATATGCACTACCTTTTCTGGCAACAATCATGTCATTAGTGACAAAAGACATTATAATCTCACCTTCGCTGTGTTTGCTTCTGTCGCGTTGCGTCTCTGTCTTGACCCCATATTTATCTACAATTAGACTGAGCAAACTCACCGCCTTCACGCGCGCGTTGGGCGCAGATAATGACTGCCTTTGGTGCCCACACATCTACCACGGAACATTATGAACCGTTCTCGGCGTTTCTAACAGCAATCATCTGTTTGTTTCAGGATGATACCACTCGGATATCGGATATCGAACGAGGTGAGGCTTTGTGCGGTGCATCAGCTCCCTGGTGCGCTGGAATCCTCTCCGACACGAGCTGTTTCGTTGTCTCTCTCGGCCACTAGCAGCAATGAGTGTAGGATACAAATGGAATGCTTCTCACGGCTGAGGACGATCCTGATGCAGTACTATACGCAGATGCTCTGCGCCAGCTCTGACTGGTTTCCGCTATGCCGAGAGGTCCAGAAGAGCCATGGGCACGATGCAGGCAAGGGAGACTATCTGCGACGTTATCAGTCTCACACACTTGTAGGGTCTAGTCCCTTTAATTGAGAGCGCGATATCCCGCCACTTCTACATTTCGGCAGCGCGGGGAGTAAGGCAGATCAGCCGGGTGGCGTCCTATGGAGGGACTCCAGGTGCTCTACCTGACAGAGAAGTCGTTTCAATGCTTCGACCAACTCTCCAAATGTCGCATATGGAGGCAGGAAAATTTTCGGAAATGTCCTAATTGGATAAAGTTTTGGGTCACGGCGTGGTTATATAACATCATTCAGCTTACTTAACATAGCAAATGTTCATCCTCATGGGAGTCACGGGAAGTTTCCAACACTGAACACAATTGATAACTAGCAGTGACGAGCTGTTTGGAATGGCTTATGCTTCTCTGTCTTTCATTCAGTAACCAGTAGTCGACGCTGCCCGCTTCAGAAGCCGTACTTATTGTACTTTCGTTGTAGTTGATGGAAGGCTTGAGACCAGGCGTTGGTATCACAGATCGACTAATTGTTCGGACGTTCGTCCTCGTCTGGTGTGTTGGCTACACAAGACGGCACAGCTGACACCCTAGATGAGGACGGCAGTCTCAACAATCATTCTATCCGTGATATTTTAGCTGTCTTGTCTCGCTAATTGACATCGATAGCTCCTCCTGTGGCGCGAGCTTTGCAACACTCGTTCGCCGCTTCGTATCGAACTGCGCCGTGCGTCGTTCTCCGCAATATGGGAGCAAAACCTTTGGCACAATGTAACTGTAGCTTGCACTAGCTGACAGTCTGCGTCAACACTTACACTCGCCTTCCCGCCACCGGTGCCAACCACGCGGCAAGGCCGGTGAAGCCCTGCTCAGACGTCTAACGAGACGCAGGCATGGCCGTAGATTAGCTGTCCCAGCGGACAGCTAGTCTACAGCCGTACCATGCGTCTAACCTCGACCCGAGAGAAGCTCTAAAATGTCAGGCGTGACCAAACTATGAGGAACAAAACTGGGTGAACCTCGCACTTACCACATTTAGAAATAAAGATGTGAATGTTAACGCACTTGGTGTTTTAAAGAACCAGATGGAGATCATTGTTTGTGCCTACACCACCTTCACCTCTTATAGGTTTTCCTTTCAAGATCTGAACCGTAAATGTCAACAAATCCTGATCGATGCAACTTTTAGAAGTCTAAACGTTCTCCGAGGCCCTTTGTCTCTATTCGTGGAGGTAGGTGAAAACTTGAGCTGCTATTTATGCGCATGTCCGGAAAGTCTGTATGGTTAGTTCCTTCCAGCTGCTGAACTTGAACCAGCACTGTGAAACTACGCCGACAGGCTAAGGCTCATCATGGTGGAGCAGCTCAAATAACGACTCCCATATCTCGCCTGCGTTCCTCCTCCCATACGCTCTCACTTTCCAAAGAACGGGAGACAAACTGGACAGGTAGAGCTGGTGCTTTATCGCTGTGCGGAAAACAGTTTGTTTGCTGCTGGTGCGCTATGCGTGTCGGGGAAACTCAGTGGTAGTTTCGCTGGCGTGAAATGAATCCCATGGGGCAAAGAATATCCGGCAATGTTTCTTGTATATGACGGGAGGGGGGGGGGGTCATGCATGGAGTGACTTGTGGGACACAATGGGGGGGGGGGGGGGGAGCTGCCGCGGTGCACCAGCAGGGTGCCGGTGCTGGGTTGGCCCATGCAGCGAGCGCGCTATCCGGCGATGGTTCTGCATGCAGTTTCACTTTCGCCCAGATAGGAAAGTTACTGAACCGCCGGTTGCAGGAGGTCCCCGACCTGAACGGGACGGGATCATAGCCGGTGGGGAATGTGACGGCGGCGTTCACTGGAAGGAAGGGAAAACATAACCGGCGCCTGCATCGTTGTGCAATCTGCGCGGGGTACCTGAATAAAGGCCGAGTTTGTACGCCTCATATTAAAGCCGGTTTGCAGCAGTGTTTTGCCAATGTCTTTCGGGTATTAGTGCTAAGTTGTGTGGACGACTGAGGGCCAGGAGACGTTTGGGGAAATGTTACAAATGTGTGAGGGAAGACCACCTCTATTGATGCCACAAGTTGGTTGCACACAACACAACCTGGCCAGCGTCATGTATTTGCTCCACGTCAACGTTTGTTGGTTGCTGTCCTGCGAAAGATGCTCATTTGGCTGTTTTTGAGCGCAGTTCTTACCGGTTGAACCAAATAAGTAGCATGTGGCCCTTTTACATATTGTATGGCCTGATTCACTTTTTTGCTGTACTTGTGTTGTGCTGTGCTGTACAGATGCACTGTTTTGTCAGGATGCAGTTTAATGAGTCATTCTGAAAGTTGGACATGATTTTTACGACTGGGGCTTTTCCGTCATGAAGCACATGACCTTTGCCTTAGGGCAGGAAACCTTCGGCCTTCTGCGTCTCTGACAGGCGAGCACCCCGGAAATACAACTGAAAAACCTAAGGAGAGTCCCTTATCTATCAAAGAGCAGGCAACCTCAACTGAAATGACGCCATTACCTTGATCGACAGTGAGCCGTAGTAATAAATAGATCAGTGACACAGTCAGGTAGTGTTCTGAGACTACATGCACTGGCGCTGAACTTACAGATGGTCGGATATGTCATATGCTTGACTATGCTTCCACGTGTATTTCGAGCGAGGTTCATTCATTCACCTGTGCTTTAGAGACGTGGCTGCATGTGATGAACTCAGCAGTCATGTCGCCGCTGTCGGCGTTACTACGAAATGTGTGCATGAATAGGTAAACGCTGTATTCAGAGGAGTTACCATCGTTATTAAGACCATTAACAATGGGATCTTTATCCTGAAAAACCTGCTTCCTGGTCGTGGTCCTGCAAGAGTACTTGCCACACTACAGGTAGGCTGTGACGTCACCCCAGAGCTCCGCAATAAGTACGCAACGGCGTACATCGCTAATACATAATTGCCATGAAAGCTTATGCCTAGTAAGTCACCATGGATGAGGACACCCATTGGCCTCGCGGAGGCCTGTATCTGGAGGCCTTTTATTGCTGTCCACTCTTCGATAAGCTCGTGGCGCCGCCGCTGGATACAAATGCATTAAGATGTAGTCTTTTCGTACAGTTTTTGGACTGAATATTGTACGTCATATGTGGCATGACCTTGAACGCCTTTACTCAGACAGCATCCGCCCGGGGCGTGATATGCAACATGATGCAATTAGCCCAGATCCTTTTCTTTCGCAAGTGTTTCATGTTTTCCACATGTTTTAACAAAAAAACAATACGTAACACTGGCCAGGGTGCCTGTCGTCGTATTCCGTTTAGTCACATCTTACTCCTGGCTAATGCCGTCAACGGCGGAACGTTTTCTTGAAGTTGATAAGCTCATAGGTCGCTAGTTCGACCGAACCTTTAGGGGCAAAATGATTATAAAAATATGCAGACATCCTTCTAGCTCGAGGAAAGGCGCTGTTCCTGTTGCATTTATTGGTAGAATGAATCAAGCCCACCGTTTTAGTACGGAGAACCTGTTCCAGGTTTGGATAAATGCCAGTGCTCCTCCTCGCACGGCTGTATCCCCAGCCATGGTTCGTGAAGCACATGACACGCACACGCACACACACACACACACACCACACACACACACACACACACACACACACACACACACACACACACACACACACACACACACACACACACACACCACACACACACACACACACACACACACACACACACACACACACACACACCACACCACGCACGCACCACGCACGCACGCACGCACGCACGCACGCACCACGCACCACGCACGCACGCACCCACCACCCACACCCCCACCCCACCACACCACACCCACACCCACACCACACCCACACCCACACCCACACCCACACACCCACACCCCACCACACCCCACACCCACACCACACCCACCACCCACACCCACACCCACACACCCACACCACACACACACACACCCACACACACACACACACACACCACACACACACACACACAAATGCTCCAGCGCACCGAGGACACGTTGGCACGCGCATACCGATTGTGCACAAGTCACGGACGCCAAGGACGACCACACCTCCCGACCACGCCTGCACCACATTGGAGTGGCGGGGCGCCTGTACCCCCCGCTGGCGGTGCTTTGCTGATTACACAGCGCCATCGTGACGTCAACTGCCCGCCGTGACGCCGCCTCCGTCAGGCGGGCCACGACCGCCTTCCGAGCGGTCACGTCGTCTACGAGCGAGGGGGGGGGAGGGAGGCGCCCGGTCGCGACACTGCCTGGCAGCGGCGGCGGCGTCGCCGGCCCGTGCCGCGCCGGCACGGCACGGGGAGGGGTTTCGGCGGCGGCGGCACGGCAGCGCAAGTGAAATTAACACGGAACCGCTTTCCAGCGCCGTTCGGCTGTCTCGCTCCGGCGGGTAGCGGCCCGCAGCGAGACTCTCGTTTTCCACACCGAGTCTGCGCGAGCGGAAATGGCCGGCCGCCGCGCGGCAGCCGGTGCTGGACTGCGACCCTGTCACCCCTTCGAAGCGGGGATGACCACCGAGGGGCGCCAGTGGCGGACTCACCCATTCGACCCGCCTCCACGAACACTGGAACGCGTCGCCGGTGGGCGGCAAAATGAGCCCGGGGCCTCCGAGCTGGTTCCCGGCCCTCTGTAAGGGATTCCCCTTGCGCTCCTGCGCTTCCCTCATGCTCCCCCCATGACCGCTAGTCTCTCCGTATCTGTAGGCGGAAGGGTTCCTAACCCGTCCTTAGGAGTCCTCGTGTCGGACT